AGATGCTTATGTCTGATTTTGGAGATTTTTGTTTGAGCTTGGACAATTTTGTCAATCTTGATCAGTACTGTTCAATTTCTTAGGTTTCCATCTGATATTAGACACTTTTGCCCAATTTTTTGTGCTTGAGGGGATAGTTCCCATCATTTCTAGACAGTTTTATCATATTTCCATACTCCCCTGTAAAAGCAATGAGTGTTAGCCCACCAATAGAAAAATCATAATTTTGCAGAACTTCCAAAAAATAACTAAAGGTGCTAACTCTTTGAAGTCTCTGAAGACATAGAAAAGAGGTACAAGTTAAACAAAGAGAATAGAAAAAGATACGTGGTGGTTTATGCTTTGTAATTCAATAGAGCCAAAATATAAAAATGTCTCTCAGAGGAGTCGTTTGTGGTACAGTTTTTAAAATTTTTTTTTTTTTGAGAACTAAACCAGTCTGCAGCAGCACTCTAACAAACCATGGCTCCCAAACCTTTTTCTTACCTTGCCTTAAAAAATTTTTCTCAACTTGGCCAAGCCTTCATGCAGGTCTTTGGCCCATGTATTAGCCGCTAACTTTGGATTATAAAACAAGGTGTTTAGTCAGTGTTTACTAGTAAATCTCCCTGAAGAAGTCTACAATGGGTAGAAGAAATGCATCCGAAAATAAAACAAGTTTTACAACTGACAACTGTTTTCAGAGTGCTGCCCACAAGTGTAATAAATATTTTTTAAATTTTGTTAAAAATTGTTAGAAAAATTGTTCTTTTAGTTGGTTAAAAGTCCGACAAAAAGTGTGAGAACTATTTTTTGAAAATTGTTTAGTAAATATAGAAAAGCTCATGGTACCATTTTACAAATCCACTTGTCAAGTAGCAAGTTATTTGGGTTAAACATTTTTTTTAAATGGATTTATGAATTTGGTTATTAAGTCATGGCAAGTCTATGGATTTGGGTTTACATCCCTATTCACCCCCCTCCTCACAGAAATTGATCTATGATTGCTTTCACACATGTAGAAGCTGTCTTCCAATACATCAGTTTTCAACCTCTGCTGGTAATGAAAGTGGTCAAAGGTGGTTTGATAACCTTGACAAAAACTCCCTTCAGCTATGGACTGCAGTGGTTGTTGCGTTATATTCTCTTCTACAAAACCCACAAAATGGTAAGTGGGAAAATTGAATTAGGTGGGTTAGGTCTGTTGTCAAGCCAAATGATGCATCCAGCCAAAGCTTTGGATAGGATGCTGGTCCATTGCAGGTTACTCACAGCTTTCCCTGACAGTTCACCTATACTCATTTTTACTCCTGGCTGGAGTGAGGTTCTGGGAGAGTATGGCTTGCCCAAAAACAAGGCAATGACCCAGCTTTGTCTTTAACCCAAAACTCTAGACCGAGGGTTCAGCCTAGCAACTGTTAAACCATCTTGTCTCCCCTTATCTTTTGATAGTGATGTTATATTCAATAGGCCATTTTACAGTTGTGTGCTTGGTTGCCAAGCCTTTGAATGGGAGTGAGGCTAGGGATGAGCTTGTTATGATACAAACCTTGCTGCCTTTCAAATGTAAATCACTTTGTTATCACGCTAACTAGATACAGGTCTCTATCACAACAAGGTCATCTTTAGCCTCACTCTGAATCAAAGGCTTGGCAACTAAGTACACAACTGTAAAATGGCCTGTTGTAGTGTTGTATCATGTAATGATACTTCAGGATGTTTTCTATCTCTGAGGAAGCAAAGTTTTTTGCTTTCTCACAAATGTGGGGACTGATTGTTATCTTATTTCCATTTTTTCAGCTCAAAATCAAAATCTGTGCTGTCGGCTGCTTCCAGCAATAGTGAACAAACTGCTCTTAGTAACTGAGCAGCATGAAATTCTTCAGCCAACTGTAAACCTTCTTGCTGCAATTGTTTCAGAGAATGGTAAGAATTAATTATTTTAAAATATTGTAATCATGAAGTTGTAGTGGCACCACTTCTCCGCTGCAGTATTTTATTTTTCTAGGCTCCAAACGAGACCTAAAGACATCATTTGGCAACCTAAAATAAGAAAATGGTTGCCATAAAAGGGAGAATCCGAGAAGGACATTTTGTGCAATTTTGCATATTTTTGCAAGTATCTCTCATTATTTTTAACTCTGCCAATGAAAAGGTTACAGCCTGCCACATAACTGCTAGGGATTTCATTAACGTTTTCAGCAGGAGGGCTACTGGTTTTCACAGGCGGGCAAAACATGTTTGAACTGGACTTCTTTTTAGGATAAACTTTCCTCCAGATGGTCAAACCAGGTGGGCAAAACCGTCCTCACAACCGGTCAATTTGCCCGGTGCCCAGGCCCACAATGAAATCCCTGAACTGCTTAACACAGGTTGCTAAATTGGCATCTTCTGCTGCAAATTTAGCTTCCAAATTACTTTTTGACTAGATGGCAGCAGTTTGGAACGCTGCTTTTGCGGAAAGCATTATGAGAGTTTCCAAACGAGGGCGATGAAGATGACTCTAGTGACACCTGACAATAATTAACAAGGGGCACTTTCTTACTTATTTTCTTTCAATAGTCTCAGAGTTTTCTCTACTTTTCACCCAGCTGAATGTCAATCTAAGGTGCGACTGCTTGGAGGCTTGCGTGCTCTGGTCATTCTACTAAAGCAGGTTGTGGACCTAAAAGAACATGCTGAACGAGATATATTGTTTATGGGGCGCATTATCAACACCTTAGGATCTGTCATAGCAGGACACGGTAAGCCAATATATCTTGATTCTACAGTGCTGATGAATGCAGCAGAAGTCTCTCCGGCTCTACTGAAGTTTCAATATATATATCTTATTAACCAAGCGCGAGGGCCGTACTGGGAGAATATCGGCCCGAGGTCTTGACAGTACGGACCGAGCGCAGCGAGGTCCGTAAAAAAAAGACCGAGGGCCGATATTCTTCCTGTACGGTCCCGAGCAAGCTTGGTTAATAAGAGATTTATTATACGACTGAAGTTCAAAGGGACACAAGTGCGGTATCATTCGGGACCATTCGGGACAGTGCCCGGTCCAATACTTAGAGAACATTGACCGGCAATAGAGCATTTTGATTGGTTGATTTTAGTTATTGGCCCTCTGACTGCCCGAGTCGTGTAATAAAAGGTTAACACCAGACACAAGCACAGGTGCACATAGATACGCGGATATGCACAGCCGTACATGCTCATAGGCGGACAGGCGAATATGTGCAACTACTCGCGCATTTTTGCACAAGGGCAGATGTTCATTTGTGCTCTTGCACTTATGCGAACATGTGCGTGAGCACTTAAACATACTTGCGCACATATGTAAATGTGCATACGCCTACATGCGCTCAGATTTACATACTTACATATCCAGACACCCACATACGTCTTGTAAAGAGCGTACATCAAGTGTGATAATAGATAACGGCAGAATAGTAAGCGATTATCTTTGAAAAACCTATGTCTTAATCCTGATGCTGTATGTTAGTCCATTTTCATTCTTCTCTAACCCGCATATAACCGTTTCAGTGATCTGTCAAGATAGTGCAGCAGACCTTGGTCTTGTGACTCTGCTGTTGAAATGTTTAGCTCTGATAACGCCAGCTACTCAGGTTGATGGTGCGGCTGCCAAGCAGTTCAAAACTAAGTGCATATTAGCACTGTCCATTTGCATCGATCAGAGTGGTAAGAGACTACGAATTCAGTTACACAGTATTAAAACATATTTAAATCGTGTCTACGTGTGCGTGTGTGTGACATCCACGAGGTGGCTCGTCTCGTTCACTGTTTCCAGGTCGAATTTAGATTTAAATTATCGTACGTACATTTTAATTGGGGATGAAGGAAAATTGCGAATCCCGAAGAAAACCTTCGCATCGAGGAGGAGAATCAACAGAAAAGTTAACTCACAAGTGACGGCAGGTTCACGATTAGTTCCAGTGCACTGGGAAGCAAGTGGTCTTCATCGGCTGCATCCCTGCTCCTTACACGTTCTCTTTACAGAGGAAGTTTATACGCAGAAAACAAGCAGTAGGACCCACGTGTGTTTAGTTTAGAACTAACGAATAAAATGGAAGGAAAGTACTTGAATTGTTGATTTGCATTTCAGAGCGAAACCAACAGCAATTGAGAGACAGTGGAGGAGTAGCGGCTTTGATTGAGCTTCTGACAGAAGAACAGGTAGCTGAGCAGGACCAAAACAGCTTGGTCAATAAAGGATTTATGACTAAAGCAAGAGTGACAGCATGATGGAGAGCAAACAAAACGTGAAATTCCCTGCGGAGAGATAGAGTTCATTAGGCCCTGCGCACCCTATCGGATAACCAATCAGAAGAGGGGATTTACCACCCGAAATGGTTACATTCCACGACATTTTTAGGCCACCAAGGTCGTACAGGACCCTGAATAAAATAATGACCGGAATTATCTTCTCCTTACCATTGTCTCTGACAATTTTTTTGTTCATTATTTATAGTCGGAAGAGTTTAGAAGGGTGGCCATTTTCATTCTTCATGCTATCACTGGAAAATCGACAGGTATTTCTGCGAATACTTCTTATCTTGAAGTGTAGATATAGTCAGTAGTTAACGTGTACATACTTTTGATCCAAGAGTGATGTTTTAAAAGCCTTTTGATCAATTGTTTATTTTATTTCTTGAATTAAGAAAGATCAGTGATAAAATTTGAGAAAGCTTGTGGTTGTTCATCGTGGTTAGGCACACAATAGAGTGTTGTCCTTGTCTCACGATCTAGTCACTTCCAATGTGCGATGTTGTGTTGGAAATTTAGCAGTGGCAGCAGATATGTCTTGATTTAAAGTCTTGTCTTTAAGATTTAATCCAGTGCAATAACTGTGAATTATGCATGATAGGCAGATTTTGTTAGGTGCTTTGTTTTCTTTTTTAGTTTCGGTCTGACCTTGCAAATAATAGAGAATGGTTAAATTCTTCTTTATTTTTTATAATGGTAGCAGAAGAAAAGTCACCTCAACCGGTAGGAGAGCAGTGCTGTCATAAGAGTACATGTCCTACGGAAAACCACTTAATCCAGGTAAATTTTGACTAGCCTTGTCTGTTATCTTTAAGGGAATGTGTGGCTTGGAAGAAGAAGCAAATCATCGGGCCAGTCACGACAGTTGTTTGATTTTGACTTAAATATCGCTAAACGAATAACTTCTCCTCCATGTTATAGTTTGTAGTTGGCCCCACAAAGGATGCTCAAACGCAAACCTGTTACTCTGCTACAGCTGCACAAAGCGATACCGACATTGGAGGTGATAGACCTTCTGATGAAATGTCACAAGGAAGTTTTCGAAGTCATATAACAAGTGCGTCTGGAAAGAGACGTTCTGTGACATCCACCAAGGTGTTGAAACCTTTTACCAGGTCAAAAACTACTCAGTGGAAAATGAAACACCCAGAGAAGACGATAAAAAGTAAACCAGACTCGAATTTTTTTACTCCAAGAACATCCAGGTCGGGAGAAGATTTGGAAAAGTGTGAGGCTTGTGAAACTGTTCTGAACAGCAGGAACTTTTTGAAAACATTAAGACGGTGTTCCAATCCTTGCTCGTTTCACCGTGGATTGGATCAGTGTTTGCGACGGATAATCAGTGACTTACAAAAGCAAAAATAACTAGTCACCCTTTCCACTCATCCTTGCTCGGTTATTCTTTTGCTTAGAACTATTTGAGCCCTACACATAGCTCTTTTGATTATCTATTTACTTATTCGTTGTTTTGTGCTCCGCTCAGACTCTACTGTAGAAGGCTGTAACAACCCACCTCCAGACTTTTTCCTATTCTCTGTATTAAATTGATCAAAGATCAAATTAAGTTTAAAGCTTGAAGAGCACAATTAGTCTTATCAATGAAGGATCTCCTCCATCAGTTATGGGAACGAATTAATGGCAGAAAAACCCATTTACTTCTTCGAACCCGGCAAAAACTTATTTTTGGTAGCGGTATTGCTAAAAGGAACGGAGCTACGTCTGTTAACCCGCATACGTTTTGGAAAGTTGAGAAAAGTACTTCTCAGTTTCTTTGCCGATGTAATTCACGAAGTTTTTTTTTTTTTTCGCGCGTAGTGTTTTACCTTTGAAATGAAGTGACAGGGCATTTCTTTAGTTGCGATACTCGAAAGCTAACGTCTTTTTTAAAAAGCGTAAGCGGAATTGCCCTTACAGTCCAAGGTGAACCAAGAGCGACGACAATCACCGATTCGGGAAGATGAGGTAACCTTTATTTGTTATGTAAATTAGTTGATTAATGACCCACGATCGCAAATTTTATCGTTTGTGACTGCGACGTGGAATCAGTATTGTGAAGCTTTTCTTCGCATAAGCAGTTGAGTTTCCGTGGAGAGAGAAAATATTCTTTAAGAGAGATTTTCTGAGACGAAAAATGCGAATTATGATCCCATGGCTTTTTGTAACGAGTTGAGATCCAATGACTTTGGCTCTGTTTTTAAATCATCTTGTGTAAATGATGCGTACTCTCGATTTAAGTAAATTCTGCAGCAGTCTATAGATAAGCATGCCCCTTTCATCACCAAGAAAATCAAAGGTCGTCTGTGTCCTTATATATCTAGTGAAGTCAAAAGTGAAATGAATTTGAGAGATCAACTACTCAGAAAGGCTCGTAGGTCAAATCATGAGATTGACAGGTCATCTTACAAACGACAACGCAACAAAGTGAATAACCTAGTGTAAAAATGTAACAGCAATTACTATAAAGATATATTGTAAGACGAAGCCTCTTCTCCAGATAAATTTTGGTCAGCAATCAAGAAGTTGTACCCAACAAAAATTACGACCGGCTCTGCGGAAGCTATAAATATAAACGGATCAAAAGTGTCAGACATTTCCTCCATTTCCCAAGGCTTTTGTGACTTTTTCCACTATAGCTGATGTTTTGAAGACTAAGAGTTTTCCGCTTCGCAAATTTATTTGGGGTAAGCCTCTTACTTTACGTGAAACCGCATCACTTTTTGTTTTTAATTCAGTCTCCGATGATGAAGTCTTCAGAGAGCTGAGAAATCTTAAAAGAAATAATTCGACCGGTCTGGATAATCTTCCCCCTGGAATGTTAAAGGATGCAGTTACTATTATAATAAACATAATATTTTACATAATAAACTTATCCCTGCAATCTGGTTCTGTACCGATGGAATGGAAAGCCGCCAAAGTTACACTTCTTTTCAAAAGCGGTTCCATGCTTGAGCTTGACAATTACAGGCCTATTTCTGTACTACCTGTACTGTCTAAGATCTTGGAAAGGATTGTATATAAACAGCTACTGTCACACCTCGAGAATAATGGTTTGCTGTCAACTTTCCAGTTCGGATTTCGATCCAAACGCTCAACTGAACTGGCAGTTACATATTTTACGGACATAATCAGGAAAGACGTTGACGATGGAAACATTCTGTGTGCTGTTTTTATCAATCTATCAAAAGCATTTGACACTGTTAGTCACTCGTGCCTTCTTAATAAGTTGCCATCTTACGGAATTAACAATAAAGAGCTTTACTGGTTTACTGACTATTTGTTTTCTCGAACGCAATCAGTCCGATTCAAAGGTGTTTTGTCAGATGCCAATCCAAAATTTTCTGGTGTTCCACAGGGAAGTATATTGGGGCCGCTATTGTTCATGATCCATTTTAATGATGTGCATAGGCCTCTTCAGAAAACCTCAATCATCACCTATGAGGATGATACAGTAATTTTTACGGCTGCTAAAGATCTGGAATCCTTTCAAGAGCATCTCAGGGAAGATTGTCACAACTTGTCTTCTTGGTTTCATGATAATGAACTCGGTTGTCCTTAATCTGATAAAGGGTAAAACAGAGTGTATGATTTTTGTTACTGCCACGAGGCTTAATGCATTGAATGGAAGACAACTAGCTTTGTTTATAAATGGAACACTGATTAATACCACGTCATCCTATAAATACCTGGGTGTAATTTTGGATTCATCCTTAAATCTTGAATCACATTTTGACAAAATGTATAAAAGAGCAGCTGATAGATTTAATTTACTGAGGAGAATCCGACCTTTAATCGACAGGAGCAGTGCCGAGAAAATCTACAAAGCAATGATTCAACCTGTTTTTACATATTGTGGAACCCAGGGTCTCTCTTGGTCAGGTTCCCCTAAGAGTCAAATCGAAAGCATTGAACGTCGAAGTCAGAAAGTTATTGGTGGAAATTATCAAGTCCAGATAGTGGAGAGTCTAATAAAGAGACAGTCATGCCAGCTTGTATTTGACTGTCTTCAGGATAAAGTCTGTACCCCTTTTAAAGGATATTTCACCAAAATTGAACACAAAATTAACACTAGAAACAATGAATGTTCACTAAATCTTCCCAAAGTCAAATTAGAATTTGGACGGAGAAGTTTTGCCTTTCAAGGGGTTCTAATTTACAACACTTTACTCCGGCATTTAAGAAGTTTAAATTCATGGTTTCTTTTTAAGAGTAATTTAAAAGAGTTTTTTTCAATAGTATCCAATTAACTTATAACTCTTTTAAATCTTGTAAGTTAATTTAAATCTTAGATTTCTTAGAGTTATTTGTTTATTTTTAATTATTTATGAGTTGAGTACATGACCCTTTTGATAACAGTTCTTTCTATTAAGAACAGACAGGTTATCCTGAATAAATATTCGCGTTATAATTATTGTTATTATCAAACTCAAGGTCAGGATTGTGATCTTGGTTGTGTACGCGCATCTGGAATCAAGGCGCAGCCCATTCCAAGATCAAGATGCCAAGTTCCTAACAACTTGAATTTCTTTACTCTATCAATTGTCTCATCTTTCAAGGTGAGAGGTGGAGTGTATCCGTCAAGATTATGCTTGGTGGAAATAACTATATACTTGGTCTTGGTCTCATTAGGTTACTATCAGCTTCCCACGACTCATTGCTGCTGGGGGTCTTTTTCATCTTGTCAACACAGAAATCAAGGTCTTTGGGAGTGGCGTGATGCAGCACCGTTGTGTCGTCCGCGCATTGAAAGCAAGAGGAACCATCTAGTAAACAATCTTGCGTGTCATTCGCCTAAAGACTAAAGAGAACATTCCCAAGAATTGAGCCCTGTGGAACTCCAAATGGGACATTTGCAAGACTAGATCGCTTGCGACTTGTACGAACTGCTAACGGTTAGTTAAGTAGCTCAGAAACCACAGAAGAGCTGTCTTGGGCAATCCGATTGCATGTAGTTTATGCAACAATCAATGTCTTGCCCCAACGGGGGGAGCCCGGGCATACACGGGCTATTGACAAAATAACCTTGCCCGGGAGAAGGGCTGTAAACTTGTATTGACACAGGGTTCACCCCAGGGTAGGGTTTATTGACCATTTCGTCAGAGAAGGACTGGGAAAGAGAGAGTCGAATTGGCATAAATCAAAATGGCGGCTTTCGCGCCAACTACGTCAACAGAAGTAAAAAAATGTAAGAAAAAAACTTAAATACATTCAGCTTGTTTATTTTTCATTTTTTAATAGCCAGTACAATAAGTTTTCATTCGATTTGTGCACATTCTGTGCAGATATAAATAGGAAAAAAGTTCAAGTTGAAACTTTGTTTGACAGTCTCGCTCATGGCATCACGCTCGTGGCATACTCCTCAACTTCTGTTGGGGAAATATACCTCTCAGTGTCCTGGTATTCCTAAGATAAATTAAACAGTTATCTTTCCTCCTTGTGAGGAGCCTATTGTCATTCTAATAAGGCCCTCCAGAGGGGCTTATTGACATTTTTTTTTCAAAAATGTCAATAGCCCATGGGTATGCCCGGGCTCCCCCCGTTGGGGCAAGACATTGATTGGTGCATTACGTATGACAATAGAGTGGTCAACCGTATTGAATTCCTTAGAAAAGTCCGCGAAGGCGTGAGGGTAAGGCAAGCAGCCAGCTTTCGGCATTTGTCCAAGAATGAAAATGTGGAACTGAGGTTTCAATAGACATTTTGTGTAACCCGTTGTTAGATTGTCTGGAATCGTAACCCCTAAAATAAAGACACTGTCTGCATAATTCAGGCAACCTGTTTCCGGTTGCACGAAGCGAGGTAAAGGATGTATCTTAGTTCAAAGTGGGCGGCTGTTAGAAGGAAAAGTCAAGGAAGGCATTCTACTTATTTTGGCAGTTCAAATACAGTGTGTAACACAAAGGGGAATCGAACATGTTCCACCTTTTCAATTTTCCTCAGGCCAAAAACGTACTTGGGAAAATTGGATGTCGAGAACAGCAGGGAAAGACTGGTTTGTTATCTAAAAGACTACGAGATTTTACAAAGTCTGTACCAGGGGGCTACGGAAGCCGATAAGGGACATTCCCAAAATACTTTTGAAATATAAAAAAAAATAGTTTAAATCGTAGTTATTTTCTGGGAATCCTTTTCTTAAAGTTTTTCAAACCTGTAAAATAATTACAACTCCTGATTAAATTATTGAGTCCAGTTTTAACTCTTTGAAAAACCCAAAGATAATTTGCGATTCAAAATTCTTTGTGAAATCTTGAAGAATTTTGAAAAATTGGCGTAAAACTTAGGTTACCCATTTTCCTTGGATCCAGGAATCACGTTGAAGCTGATTAAATTCAGGTCTAAAACCAGAAAATAGCTTCAAAAAGACTACGTGTAGAGCTCTTTATTCGTAGGATAAAAAACGCTTCGGCTTTTCGATGGAACAGTTCCACTGTCTTCTCATGAGTCCATTAATCCTTGACACCCTAACATCAATATGCATTTTATCCATTCTGGTTTCTTTACATTTCCTCAGGTGCTGACAAGGAGAATTTGTTTAGCAATTGGGAGGCACTTTAGTTGTTGATCATTTTCTCTATTCTTGTGCAGGTGCGTCGCCAGGATTTTTCAAAGGGGGGGTCACAGATGCCACTCACCATTTACACCGCTGCTCTCCCGCATGTATCAGCAGGTTCAGTCGTATTATTACGGCATGAAGGCCCATATCAATGGCTTTTACGGCCAAGA